ACCAATCATTGATTTGTAAAAGAGATTCAAGGGGTTATACCTCTACATTTTACCATATGCTGCACAATCATAGCAACAGCATTAGCCAATAATTGGTGGTTAATCTTGAAACTTCCTCCACAGGCACTGTAGCATGAAGCATAAAATTTGGTGGTATAAGAATTTACATCTCTAAGCAGTATTTAGCACTCTGGTGGTGTAGTGCCTAAGGCACTTGACTGCTAACCAGAAGGCTGGAGGTTCACACCCACCAGCCACTCCTCAGAAGGAAGATTGGGCAATCTACTTCCTAGTGATACCGCCTGGGAAACCCAAGGAGGGGTCGCTATGAGTCTAATCGACTCCACAGCAGTGAGTTTGGGTTTTTGTTTAAGCAGTATTTATATGTTAAATTTTGGGAGAAACCTAAGGTGCAAAATCAGGCACTCACATAGGAAACTGGAGCTACCATGAATAAGTAAATAAGTGTAGCAAACAATGAGTATTAAAGCTCACAAGAATACCTTGGTAACTATATTTTAATATTAATTACTGTCCTATTTTGACACTGATAATAAAAGTAAAGATGAAGTTATTGAAGATTTTTTTTAACCAATTTATTACTTTGGTGATAGAAATGACACTGGAGACTGCATGATAGAATTCTGCAAGGACAATGACCTATTCATTGCAAATACCTTTTTGCAACAACATAAATGGTGGCTATAAACATGGACTTCACCAGACGGAGTACACAGGAATCAGATTGACTACATCTGTGGCAAGAGGCAATGGAGAAGCTCAGTATCTTCAGCCAGTTAATGGAACAGGTCATCAATTGCTCATATGCAAGTTCAAGTGGACACTGAAGACAATTAAAACAAGTCCATGAGAGCCTAAATATGACCTTGATTATATCCCTCCTGAATTTAGAGACCATCTAAGGAATAGATTTGATGTATTGAATACCAGGGACCAAAAACCAGAGGAATTGTGGGATGACATCAATTACATCATCCATGAAGAAAGCAAAGGGTCATTAAAAAGATAGGAAAGGAGGAAATAACTAAAATGGATGTCAGAAGAAACTCTGAAACTTGTCCTTGAATGGAAATGTGCAAAGACTTAGAGTTAGAAAAACAAAAGGGAAGAATATGCTCAGCATTTCTCAAGCTTAAAGAACTGAGGAAAAAAAAAATAAACCTCAGATTGCAATAGTGAATGATCCCATGGACAATATGTTGAATGATGCAGGAAACATCAAAAGAAGATGGATGGAATACACAGAGGTGCTATACCAAAAAGAACTGGTAGATGATCATCCATTTCAGCAGGTGATCAAGAACCAATGGTACTGAAGGAAGAAGTTGAAGCTGCACGAAAAGAAATGGCAAAAAACAAGGGTCCAGGAATTGATGGAATACCTATTGAGATGTTTCAACAAATGGATGCCCCACTGAAGGCACTCACTGGGCTGTGCCAAGAGATTTAGAAGACAGCTACCTGGCCACTTGACTGGAAGAGATCCATATTTATACTCATTTCAAAAAAAGGTGATCCCACAGAATGTAGAAATTATTGAACAATATCATTAATATCACATGCAAGTAAAATTTTGCTGAAGATAATTCAAAAATGGTTGCAGCAGTATATTGACAGGGAATTTCCAGAAATGCAAGCTGGATTCAGAAGGTGACATAGAGTGAGAGATATCATTGCTGATGTTGGATGGATCTTGGATCAAAGCAAAGAACACCAGAAAGATGTTTACTTGTGTTTTATTGACTATGCAAAGGCATTCAATTATGTGGATCATAGCAAATTGTGGATAACATTGAGAAGAATGGAAATTTCAGAACACTTAATTGTACTCATGAGGAACCTGTACATAGAGCAGGAGGCTGCCATTTGAACAGAACAAGGGGATATTGAATGCTTTAAAATCAGGAAGGGAGTGCATCAGGGTTGTATCTCTCACCATACTTATTCAATTTGTATAAAAAACCCACTGCTGTCGAGTCAGGTCTGACTCATAGCGACCCCTCCTTGGGTTTCCAAGGCAATATCATTACAGAAGTAGATGGTCCAACCTTCCTTCTGGGGAGTGGCTGGTGGGTTTGAACCACCAACCTTCTGGTTAGCAGTCAGATGCCTTAGGTACTATGCCACCAGAGCTCCCAATTTGTATGCTGAGGAAATAATCCAAGAAGCTGGACTATATGAAGAAGAACATGGCATCAGGATTGGAGGAAAGCTCATTAACAACCTGAGTACGCAGATGACACAACTTTGTTTGCTGAAAGTGAGGATAACTTGAAGCACTTACTGATGGAGATTAAAGACTACAGTCTGCAGCACAGATTATACCTCAGTATAAACAGAACAAAAATCCTCACAACTCGACCAACAAGCAGCATCACGGTAAATGGAGAAAAGACTGAAGTTGTCAAAGATTTCATATTGCTTGGTTCTACAATGAATGCCAGTGGAAGCAGCAGTCAAGACATTAAATGATGTACTGCATTGGGCAAATCTGTTGCAAAAGGCATTTTTCAAGTGCTGAGGAGCAAAGATTTCTCCTTCAAGATTAAGATGCAACTAACCCAATCCATGGTATTTTCAATCACCTCATATGCTTGTGAGATCCAGGCATTGAATAAAGAAGACAGAAGATGAGTTGAATTTTTTGAAGTGTAGTGTTGGCAAAGAATGCCAAAAGTACAGTGAACTGCTAAAAGAACTAACAAATGTGTCCTGGAAGAAGTGCAGCTGGAATGCTCCTTGGAAGGGAGAATGACCAGACTTTGTCTCACCTACTTTGGTCATGTTGTCAGAAGGGACCATTCTCTGGAGAAGGATGCTATGCTTAGTAAAGTGGAAGGTCAATGAAAGAGGGGAAAGCCCTCAACAAGATGGATTGACATGGTGGCTGCAGCGATGGGTTCAGGTATAGTAGGGATGGTGGAGGTGGCATAGGACTTGGCAGTGCTTCCTTCTGTTGTACATAAAGCCACTGAGTTGGAGATGACTCGATGGTGCCTAACAACAACATATAAAGCAATATAACTCATTGGAATCATGGACACAATTAAAAATCAGCCTCTCAGAAGCCATCTAAAAGAAGTCATTCTCTTCTTTGAAATAAAATATTCTGTGATAATTAAGAATGTTTACTCTGTAAACATTTATGTATTATGCCCCTCACTTCAAAATCCCTTTAGTACAAATTGAGTAGGAATAAGAAGTGCATATATATGAAACATGGAAATTGAACAATAGAGTTAATCACTTAAACTTGCAAGGATTCAACAGGCAAGGAACTTTATTTTTTTTCTGATCTACCTGACTTCCACTACCCACCTTCTGGCATGATATAATGAAACACACATTCTTTAGGTATGTTGTTGTTGTGTTTGTTGTTATGTGCTGTCAAGTCGTCTCCCACTCATTGCGACCCCTCTTTGGGTTTCCGAGGCGATATCACTATGGAAGTAGATTGCCCAATCTTCCTTCCGAGCAGTGGCTGGTGATAATCAATTATGTGTAGGAAAAGTACTTGCATTTTTTTGATTTGTTATTTCACTTATTGCCATTAGATAATATAAGTTGTTTTTAGGTTCTGTTGATTCAGTTTCAACTCATAATGACCTCAGGTACAACACAAGGAAAACACCATCCAGTCCTGCACTATCCTCTCAATTGTTGCCATTCTTGAGATAATCATCACAGCCATTGTGTCAATGCATCTCCTCGAAGGTCTTCCTCTTTTTTTGCTGACCTTCTATTTTACCAAGCATCATATTCTTCTCCAAGGACTGGTCCCTTCTGACAATGTTAGCAAAGTATGAGAGATTAATTCTGGCCATTCTCACTTCTAAGGGGCATTCTGGCTCTACTTCCTCCAAAACAATTTGCTCTTTCTTCTAGCAGTCCATGCTACATTCAGTATTCTTCACTAATGTTGTAATTCAAATTCATCAATTCTTTTTTGGTCTCCCTTATTCATTGTTCAGCTTTCACACGGATGTGGGGCGATTGAAAATACCAAAGCAAGGGTCAGACCCACCTTAGGCTTCCAAGTGACATCTTTGCTCTTAGACACTTTAAAGAGGTCTTTTGCAGTCTGATTGACTGCTGCTTTCATGGGAGTTGATTGTTGATCCAAGTAAAATGAAATTTTTGACAAGTGCAATATTTTCTCCATTTATGATGATGTTGCATATTGGTCCACTTGTGAGGATTTTTGTTGAAGAGAAATCCATACTGAAGGCAAAAATCTTTGATCTTCATCAGTAAATGCTCCAAGTCCACTTCACTTCCAGCAAGCAAGGTTGTGTCATCTGTGTATCTCAGGACATTAATGAATCTTCCTCCAATTTTGATGTCTTGTTCTTCTTCTTATAGCCCAGATCCTTAGATTACTTGCTCAATGTACAGATTAAATAAGTATGGTGAAAGGACACAACCCTGATGTACAGCTTTCTTGACTTTTCTACCATGCAGTATGCCCTTGTTCTGTTTGAACAACTGCCTCTGGAGTTCCATGCATCAAAATTATTCTTCAGATTGTCTCTAAATCCAGGGAGAATCTACTTAAGTTCATACTGTGGCTCTTGTGGACTTATTTTAATTTTCTTCATCTTCAACTTAAACTTGCATATGAGGAATTCCTGGTCTGCTCCACAGTCTGCCCCTGGCCTTGTTCTCACTGATGATATTGAGATATTCCACCATCTCTTTACACATATGTAGTTAATTTGATTCCTATGTATTCCATCTGGCAAGGTCCATGTGTATACTCACCATGTAGGTTGTTGAAAAAAGTATTTTCGGTGAATAAGTCATTGATCTTCCAACAACTTATGTGCAGTTCCTCATGAGCTCAAATGAGTGTTCTGGAATTCCAATTCTTTGCAATGTTATCTATAATTTATAATGATCTACAAATAAAATATCTTTGCATAGTCAATTAAACACAAGTAAACAACTTTCTGTTATTCTTTGCTTGAAAGTTTCCGGTCTTTTGAATGATCTTTTGATTTCTTCATGTATGATGCCAACATCCATCTGACATCAGCAATGATAACCCTCATTCCAGGTCCTCTTTTTAATCCAGCTAGAATTTCTGGCAGTTTCCTGTTGATATACTACTGCAACCATTTTGGAATTATCTGCAGCAAAATATTACTTGCATGTGATATTATTCAATAATTTCCACATTTTATTGGATCACCTTTCTTTGGAATGGGCACAGGATATTGATCTCTTCCAGTTAATAAATGAGTATTCTGTCAATTCCTGGAGCTTTGTTTTTCACCATTTCCATCAGTGCAGCTTGGACTTTGACATCATCAGTTTTTGATCATATACTACCTCCCAAAATGTTTGAACATTGACCAATTACTTTTGGTAAAGTGACTGTGTATTTCTTTCATCTTCTTTTGATGCTTCCTTCATCATTCAATATTTTGTCCATAGAATACTTCAAAATTGCAACTTGAGGGTTGATTTTTTTTTCTTCAGTTCTTTCAGCTTGAGAAATGCCAGGCATGTTTTTCCCCTTTGCTTTTCAAACTCCAAGTCTTTGCACATTTCATTATATTACTTTGTTCTACTGCACTGCCCTTTGAAATCTTCTGTTCAGCATCATCATTTTTACTTCATCTTTTTTTTTTTAATTTTATTTTTGCATTTGCTTTAGCTACTCTTCATTTAAGGGCACTTTCAGAGTCTCTTCTGACATCCATTTTGGTCTTCTCTTTCTTCCGGTCTTTTAATGATCTTTTGATTTCATCATGTATGATGTCATCTCACAGTTCATCTGAGTTTTGGTCACTGGAGTTTAATGCATCAAAACTATTCTCCAGAAGGTCTCTAAATCCAAGTAGGTCACATTGTGGCTCTTGTGAACTTATTTTAATTTTCTTCAGCTTCCACTTAAAGTTGCATATGAGCAATTGATGGTCTATTCCATAGTCTGCCCCTGGCCATGTTCTAACTGATGATATTTAGCTTATCCATCGTCTCTTTCCATAGATGTAGTCAGTTTGATTCCTGTGTATTCCGCCTGGTAAGATCCATGTGTATAGTCACCATTTATGTTGTTGGAAAAGATTTGCAGTGAATAAGTCATTGGTCTTGCAAAATTCTATCATGCGATCTCCAGTGTCATTTCTATCACCAAGGGTATATTTTCCAACTTTGGCATTCCAATCCCCAGTAATTATCCATGCGCCTTGATTGCATGTTTGGTCAATTTCAGACTGCAGAAATTGGTTACAAAAAACTTCCATTTCTTCATCTTTGCTTTTCATGCTTGGTGCATAAATTGGAGTAACAATAGTATTAACTTGTCTTTCTTGTAGGTGTGTGGACATTATCCTATACTGACAACATTGTCATTCAGTATAGAACTTGAAATGTTCTTTTTGACAATGAATGCAATGGCATTACTCTTCGTCATTTCCAGCACAGTAGATGATATTATTGCCTGATTCATAATGGGTAATTACAGTCCATTACACCTCACTAATACCTAGGATGTTGATCTTTATGCATTCTATTTCATTTTAAACAATTTCCAATTTTTCTAGATAAGTAATCCATCTGTACATGGCATATTCCACTTATTAATGCATTGGACAGCTGTTTCTTCAAATTTTTAGTCATCTCACATCAGGAAAAGAAAGTCTCAAAAGCTTTACTCCATCCACACCATTAAAATGGATTCTAGTTTGAAGAGGCAGTTCTTCCCCAGTCATATGCTGAGTGCTTTCCAACCTGAGGGGCTCATCTTCTGGCACTCTATCAGACAATGTTTCCTTGCTATTCATTCATAAGGATTCAGTGGCTTTTTTTTTTTTTCTTCAGAAGTGATCTGGCTACATCCTTTTTCCTAGTCTGTCCAAGTCTGGAAGCTCCACAGGAAACTGTCCACCATGGATTATCCTGTTGGTATTTGAAATACCAGTGGCACAGCAACACGCATGCTACCACAGTACAGCAACCTGATAGGTGAGTGCTGGGTATGTATCATATACATGCTGTGTATTTCATCTTTAATTAGTTTAATTACATATTCATAAAGGATGAAATATAATCATTTCAGTAATCAAACTCCTTTGGAAAGGAAGATTTTATTTTCTTCATCATTTTACAGTTATCTCTGAAGGTAAGATATAACTCATCACCAAAACTCATGGCTATCAAGTCAAATTTCACTCATAGTGACCCTATAGGACAGAGGAGGACTGCTCCATAAGGTTTCCAAGGCTGCAAATCTTTACAAAAAGAGACTGCCTCATCTTTCTCTCATGGAGCAGGTGGTGAGGTCGAACCAGCAGATGTTTTGGTTAGGAGCCAAGTGCTTTAAACACTGTGCCACCAGAGACCCTTGAGGTGAAGATACACAGAAAAATTTGGAATCACTTAATGGCATAGTGCCTAAGGCATCTGACTGCTAACCAAAAGGCTGGCAATTCAAACCCACCAGCCACTCCGCGGAAGGAAGATTGGGCAATCTAATCTACTTCCATAGAGATATAGCCTCAGAAACCCAAGGAGGGGTTGCTATGAGTCAGATCCCACTCAAAGGCAGTGAGTGAGTGATTAACTTCACCAGTGTTTTATATACATTTGCAAGCAAAGAGAAACATACTGTAGACGTTTAGAACTGGGAAGACACTATAGAGATTGTCTAAGTCAAGTTTTTATTGTATAAAAAAAGATTCCAAAAATTAACCCAGTTTTTTTGTTGTTATTTGCCTTGCTCACCATATTTTATGTGCTTGGAGGTAATAATACGTTTATAACATAGAACAGATTACACATATACATGGCTTATCCTCAAATACCTATTTTAGTTGGAGGTAGCAAAAGAAAACAGTTAATTTCCAAAGTTATTTGAGCTGGAATTTCAAAATTTTCTAAGAAAACCTGTAACCTGTGCAATTAACCAAAAGATTCTCTAAGATTCAAGGTGGTTAGTCAATGACTTGATGGGAACTTGAAATGAGGGAGGACTTTTTTATTATTATTATTCTAGACTTAATAATACCTTAAAAAATGGTACCAGTATTAATAGACTTGGAGAGTTTTCAGGAACCAATGAAGACAACTGACAAATGAGAAGCCTTATGATATATATAATTAAAATCACTGGCAAAAAAGAGATGCCAGCCAAGTGTAAGTATATGACATGCAGCAATAGGTCTGCAAAATAATACTTTTTGAATGGATACAATCAGAATAGGCATGTAAAATATTTTTTGTAAAGTAAAGAAATAGGATTGCTAAAGGAAGAGAACCAGCTTATAAAACAAAATCAAATAAGGAAATGTTCATCTTAATGCTTTTGCATCTCTCTATCTGTATTTCAAGTATAATTAAAAATGCAGGCCTATTATATCCTGTCACAGTTTACATAACCTGTGACTTACAGGAGTTTGAAAATTCTCAGCAGGACATAAACAATGTAGAATAGACAGAGTCCAGGTAAATCTAGTATAGATATGTAATGGTCACTTTCTTTATTTGGACATATATGATTCGAGACTCACATGATATATAGCTGGCATGTTCAAGGCGAGGAGGGTTCTGAGTAGATTACTGAGAACTCTTAGACAGTAAATCATTTATGTTCAGAGTTGAGAACATCACAAACATGGTCATTAGCAATATAGCAAAATGGTCATGAAATTGGCATGAGATCTTTGACCCTGTATAATAAGAACATAAGTTTTTCCTTACTCCTGACAAAGAAGATAATTTCTATGCTAAAAAAATTACAAAACTACAATAATTTTTGGACTTATCTATATGAATATATTCTTACATCTAAGCACCTGATACCCCATTTTGATGTAAATGATCATGAAACTTATAAAAAATATGAATAATATATCCTTTCATAAAGTCCATGATTTCAGATAAATGAGTGGTGGGAGCATCTCTTGAGCTATAATTAATGTTAAATTATTAAGTGAAAGGAATTTTTGACTATCATATTTCCCCATTCCAAAAACAACCCACCAAACTCACTGCTGTCGTGTAGATTCGACTCATAGCGACCCCTCCTTGGGTTTCTGAGTCATTATCTCTATGGAAATAGATTGTCCCATCTTCCTTCCAAAGAGTGGCTTGTGGGTTTGAATCACCAGCCTTCTGGTTAGCAGTCAAGTGCCTTAAGCACTATGCCACCAGAGCCCCTTTCTCATAAGCATAATAAAAAAAAAACATGCTCATCAAGGTCATGGCATTTAAAATAATAACTGTAGATTTCAACTGGTATTTTTTTTTATATGAAGACATAGGGTTATTTAAGTTTTTAAGGAGTAATTCAAGGATATAATTCAAGCACTCTCTTTTCTCACTGCAAACAGTCACATAGCAAGGATTACTATTCTTTCTAACATTTATTAACAGAAACAATTTCTATTTTCTTAGGATGTCGCTTCATCAACTTAACTATCCTCAGCTGTGTCCAGGTATTATTGAAGCCACACTAGACTTTGAAATGCAAGACAGCAACCTCCACAACTCATTTTTTTCAAGGTTTGATCTCTTGCCACACAACTGCTTTATAAGGTCAAAATCCCTCAGAGCTTTGACCTGAATAACAGACAAACACTCAGGCCCACAACGTTCTTTACATGAACACAATCAGATGCCTTGTCACAGTTCTTGTACTTTGCCTCACAATAAATTATTTTAATCATTATCAGAATTTATTCTTTCTTTCCACTGTTAAGATGTTGTTTTTTTATTTTTTTTAAAGATTGAGCATATTGGATAACTAGTCATTAATACTAGTTATCCAATTGGGAGCTCTGGTAGCATAGTGGCTAAGGCACCTGACTGCTAACCAGAAGGCTGG